AAAAAATAATAATAATAATAATAAATAAATTACAATCGCTAGAAATACCAAGTCGCTATTATGAAATTTTTTATATTTTTTATTTACCTTTATTATGAAAAGTTTTTCAGGAGAGTTGGGTTTCCCGAAATTAAATTTCTAGGAAACTTACCAAAAGAAAATGATGTTTTAGAAAATTAATAATATATATATAAAAAGGTCAAAATTAGTGGCATAAGGGCGGGCAGGTCGCCAAGTCCCTTATTCTTGTAGAAGAACGTATTTAAAAGTCATATTCAAAAAAAGGTAAAAGGGTGGAAGTCTAACATTTTAATCGGCACCATTTATGAGATTGGGTCTCTCAGTCTTTTTTCGGTGAAAGGTCTCATGTCTGTAGTCTAGACTAGCTGTGTTTCAAACCGACCGCAGTGAAAAAGTTCTCTCCATTTCTCTCACTCCATAGTTGTGTTTCTCGATGGATTTGATCCTTTTATTCCGTGTTTTCTATTTATTTTTTAATTTATTTCTCTCATTAGACTAAAAAAATTTACTACCGATTATCACTCTTTTAAAAGGGTATACAATTAATGCATTGTACCATTTTTAAATTATTAAGTTGCATTTTAAATTTTAAATATATTCTATAAAACACAAATTAAAAGATTCTTAGAAAATTAGAAAGGTAATTATGAAAATATTACATTTAATTTGTCTAATTTTTCAAAATTGACAACTAATTGCAATACTTAAAAGATAAAAAAACCAATCTCTTTATTTTTCTTACCAAAAATCTACAAATTTGCATTTAATATGCTCATACTACATAAGTCTACTTTATCTTCTCTTTTCAAGTAGTAATTTGTTGGGTTAAGAGAAAAAAAACACCCTTATTATATAAAAAATTGTGTCAGAAACACTACTATTAGAAAAAAAGTGCGGTTGGTGACATGTGAATGTGCCTCCCTTATATGTACACAGATAATAATAATAAGTAAATAAACGAATATGGTTTGACACAAATTGTTAATGAACTTAAGATTTTTATCAAAATTAAAATTTTGATCCAGTTACTCTTCCGTTGGACACAAACTCAAACAACATATATTTTTAAAAATTATTTATATTATTTTATTTTATTAATGTCGATATTTTTATCATATCCTATTCTTTATAATAAACAAGCATAAGGCTTTAACATCACTCCAGCAAAAATTTTTCACTTTTTTGGTATATGTCACTTAAAGAGAATACTGTTAACCCTTGAAAATTTGTAATGGAGGAAGGATGAGTTATCATTCATATTCTCCTTTATTTCTTTGTATTATCTCTACTAAATAAAGGAAATTCGTTCGTTCATTCTTATTTTCTCTTCACACTTCTTTTTTCCTTCCTACGAAGACAGCATAAGGAAGAGAAAAGATAATAAATAAGTCCTCATTCGTGCTTTACAAATTTTCATCCTTCCAAACATGAATGAAAGAGACCAATTGAAAAATAAGACTCTTATATTTTATTAAATTATTAAATTTGTCAAATATAACTATTCGGAATTTCGTTCGATCATATAGTTGGGACCCAAGATATGGCACATCGTAATTTTGAATCACTATGAATATTTGATTACTGCTTAAAGACCGACGTTTGCTAACAATTGTAAAGGTCAAAATGCAAGTCACAAAAACTGTAGTTGTGTTTGACCATGCTTATGGTAAACATTAATGTTTTTTATAGTTCTGAATTTTCATCAAACAGTACGAGTCTTTGGAGCGTAACTCTCTATGCCAACAACCCAATATCTGGTTTTACATTCTTAATTGATCAAATTTTACCATGACTTGAAAATCTTTGACATCTAGTTGTAAAAAAACAGAAAAAAGAAAAAATGTCCAAGGCATGCAAATCTCGTTCATATTCGGTTGCTTAATTTCTCATCAATATCCTTCCACGTGCATTGTGTTCTCATAGTAAATCACGTTTGGCTTAAAAGTTTGACTTATATTAATGTTACATTTAGTTAGAGAGAGGAAGAGGAATGAAAGAGACATTCACAAGATGTCTCTCACATTTTTTATTTGATTGAACGGAATCAATAGTTGAAAAGATGGATGGAGTGACAACATTTTTTTTTTTGGGTTTAAGGAAGGAAGGAAAAAAGAGTTTTTATAATCTTTTTACCCATGCATCCTCAATATATAAAATTATAAAGGTAGAATTTTTTTGAAAAGGATAAAATTATAAATTATAAATTAAATATTGGTAGGTAGTTATCCATTTCTTCTCTCCTCTCAAAATTAGGCGGATAAAAAACACATAAAATAAAGAGGGATGCTTGATCCCTTCTTGATTTCTTCTTCTCTTCTTTTCCTTGCAATTAAAAAAAAGACACAAAAAAGTTCATTTATCCCACCTCTTCAACCAAACATAACATAAATGTCTCACTTAATGTAAGAAATAAAAAAAAGAATGTGATTTTTGAAGTGTATTTATCATTTTCCTTTCATTTAACTGATTTTTGAAGACCACTATAGGATCACAGAAGGAAAAAAAAAACATCATGCAAACCTCACATGAATTCAACCAAGTAATTTGATTTATAGTCAGTTTGTGTAGTGTCCTATATAACTATTTAATTTTTATATCATTTTCTCAATAAAAATGTATTGATTGTTAAGCCTTATTCATTAAGTGAGACATGACTGCATGAGCCATAATATGATTCAAGACTCATTCATAATAAGATTCAAGGCATGTCCCATTTAATAAATAAATAAAATGGATTGCTTTTACTTCCAAAAAAAAAAATTAATTAAATTAAATTGGAGGGTTGTTATGCACAATTGTTCCAAATAGACCTTATGAGAAGCATCAGTATCACTCTTACTAGTTAAGCAGTGTTATTTTAATCTTTTATAAATAATTAGGTTTATTTGCTATCATGAAATAAAAGATAAGGCAGGTATGCACGTGTATACAGAGAAGATTGTGAGACATGAAAATTGAGAGATTAAAAAGAGATATATCAAAGAGAGAGACGGAGTATACACACACACATATATAATTATATAGAATATTGTTACGTTATGGCAGACGAAGAAGTAAAATAAGACTTTTAAGTTAATTTAGTATTTTTACTGTCAAAATTATGATTTGACCTTGTTGGCACAAATTGAAAAAAGTAAAGGGATTTTCCAAACAACAAGGGGTATTGCACATTTTGTATATTATGAGAGATTTTTTTTGTACTTAACCCACCTTAAAAAAAAAAAAAAAAGTTAGTTCCTAAACTAGTGATGCGCAAAAAAATCGTTAACCCAAAAAACCAAATTGGACTGCACCGAGTCATGCGGTTTGTCCAGTTCCATTACGATTCGGTCTAGGATTAGGGTCTTACAGGACCGAACTGGCCCGTTATAATATGTACATATATATATGTTATATTATATTATATATATATAGTTATACCTATATACTACTCTTAACATTGTAAGGGATTTCGGCACAGTGATCAAACGTGAGCCAACATTCATCACTATCTGATTTTGTTTTTTTATTTATTTTTAATTTGCTTTTCTTTCTTCCAATGTTTTGATTTTTGAGTATGTTCCAACATTCCTTCATTATCACATTTTTTTTTTTTTTCTTTTTTCTTTACTCACGTTGCCTCATTCACTTCTTAGTTGTCATTGTCACGATATCTAGTTGTTGATTAATCTTTTTCACGTAACTTTCGAAATTCGGTCATTGTCATCGATTTTTTATCACTGTCATCGGTGACATCCTTTCTCATACTCTCTCACTTTCAATTTACAGATCTCTGAGTCTCACAGTGTGTTTGCGCCTCAAGCACAACCAACAATAACAACGAATCAAGTTTCTTAGTTTTCAACCACAGATTTGTCATCTTTTTAGTTTCAACAAGATTCAACCTTATTTTAATTTCTAGGATTTAACTTTTGGGTCTATTTCACCTACTATTCCCTCTCTTTTTCTCTGTATTTTAGTCTTGGATTCAGGAATGTGAATTCTTTTATTGTTATTTTTGTTGTATATATAATTCAAGGGAAAAAAATTTCAATTAGAACCGCGGAACTGAATCGAACCAACCCGTTTTTTCATGGTTTTGGCTGGTTCCATAGCTCAAATGGTGTGGTTCGGTTTCAGATTTTCTGGAACTGTAGGAAGTGGTTTGATTTAAAAATCCTCAAAACCGGATCAAACTAAACCGTGTGTACCCTTATCCTAAACTACATAATGTTTGACTGTTATATTTTTAATACCATATTTGCCCATCTCTTAAGTGATTACTCTTCCGATATTATTTAACCTTTGTTTGAATGGTTCGCCGTATCATCTGATACGCAACCTTTTTCAAGTCCAATACGTGACTCGTATCGACCAGTTTATATTGACTTTATCTGAATTCATTACAATGTGATTGCGACCGATACTGCAAACCATTAAATTAAATAGTTTATTAGAATTCTAATTGATTAACGTTTTCTCTCACAATTTAGTGTTGAGTTCAAATATATGTAAAAATAAAGTAACTAAAAAAATAGAGTGGGAGAGCATAGAAATGAAGTCTTCACTTGAGAAAAGCAATTATGAAATTAAAAATATAATAATCAAAAAATATTTGGTGTAGGTGATATTTTCATATTTTGTAATTTTTTTTAAAAAAAAATTGTGAGCTTAGCGCTAAGGATATTTAGTATCCAAAACTTGTCCAAGAATTTGTATTCTAATATTAGAGATTCAAGAAAGGAATTTGGATCTTCTCCTCTTTACTGTATAATGGAAGTCTCTTAAAAGTAAAAGAGAGTGAATTGCGTAAAATCCAAATTCCTTTCAATTTGGATGCAGTCTTGTCACTGAAACGGTGTCATATTGATGCACAATATATAATCGTACATATGTCAAAATTAGGGGATTCTGATTTATTTGGAGTGATCTCAATTTTTATATAAAATCAATAATATAATGGTATTGCAATTAAAATCAGAAGATTGAAAAGGAAGTCCAAATTTGCAAAACCATTGCAAAAACACACCATGTTTGGGACAGCAAACGATTTACCCACGCCCGCTAGTCATTCAAAAAAATTTAAAAAAAAAAAAAAAAAAAATTGCAATACTTTCTGTTGCAAAATGGCCTACGGTCAAACCCGTCTTACCACCGTTTCTTGGTAGCTGCCTCGCCTCACACTCTATATAAACCACCCTCTCACCCAAATCAAATTCACCCCAAACTTCAATTCCCCATAAGCTTCCAAACTCCTCTCTCTCTCTCTCTCTCTTTATACATACAAACATATATCTATAACATTAATGGCAGAAACAGGCAACCATAATAATGCTGTTTTCGCCGGAAAGAAGCGACCGGTCTCCGATGATGGCGAGATTTTTGTCAAAAAATCAGTGTCAGCCGTAGTAGGGGCATGGGTAGATCCGGCGGCGGCGTTGGCCAGTGCTCGCCACGAGTTCGGCGAGCACGGCGGCGTCAACATGTCAATCGAGGCGTCCGCCACATTCACCGTGATGGAGCCGGAAACCATGGGCAGGATGTTTTCCGGAGAGCTAGGCGCCGATCGCGATTTCTTCATCTACAGCCGTCACTTCAATCCCACCGTCTTGAATCTGGGCCGTCAGATGGCCGCTCTCGAGGGCACAGAGGCCGCCTACTGTACCTCCAGTGGTATGGCTGCCATATCATCGGTCCTCCTTCAGCTTTGCAGCAGTGGTGGACACGTGGTCGCATCAAGGACCCTCTACGGTGGGACCCACGCCCTGCTCACCCACTTCTTACCCCGTGCTTGCAACATAACGACGACGTTTGTGGACTTGGGGGATCTGGAGATGGTGAAGAAGGCGATCGTGGAAGGGAAGACCAACTTGTTGTACTTCGAGGCCGTTTCGAACCCGACGCTGGCGGTTGCTAACGTGCCGGAACTGTGCAGGATAGCGCACGATAAGGGGGTGAAGGTGGTGGTGGACAACACCTTCACGCCGATGGTGCTCTCTCCGGCTCGTCTGGGGGCCGACGTGGTGGTCCACAGTATCTCCAAGTATATTAGCGGTGGGGCCGATGTTATTGCAGGTACGTCCTCTTGCCCTTTCTTTGTACCGTACACGTGTCCTGATTCCAAACCGCATGGTTATTGGAATTGAATGTTATTGGAAGGAATCAAAACTAATCAAATTAATTATGATACGCTTCATGCCATTTCATTTCATTTTATACCATATTCAATTAGATTTATTTTCTTGAATGATGTCATAAATGTGGTCCTTTCTTTTTCAATTTTTCCAAAAACAAGTAGGAGTGTCAAGTTTATTATTATTAATCATCCTAAGATTTTGAAAATATCTATGTAATTATTTCAATTTTTGGAGGGTTGATTTAAAAAAAAAAATTGTTTAAATTTCTTTGTATCATTAATGCACACTATTAAATTTAGTGATAGGCATGTTGGGTTTGAGGCTGTAAAGCAGCCTTAGCACAACAACCTATAGCTAAGTCCCACAAGTCATTCCCATGATAAGGTAATTAAACTATTCTATCTACCTAATAAAACATTCCTTTCCAATTGTTTTTGCCCTTTAGCACTACCTTTTCTTTATTTTATTTTTCTTTCATCCCTAATTACCAAAATAATTGAAGGGTTTTATCTAGGATCAATTTTGTTTCCATTCACTGAAATATCTTATGAAAAGATAAATTTTGGGATTGGTTGTCACTCGGGCACGGACAGACCCCTTGTATTTGGTTAGAAGTTCCATGTATGAAATTGTGGTTGGTATTTGTTAAATAATAATAATAATAATAATAATCAATTTCTTCTTGTTGTGTTTGTTTGTTTGCAATTAAACTTGTGGCATCTACCGCAACCAGACACATTAATTTCTCCTTGTGATTTGGATAAAGCTTTAGCAAATAAAAGCCAATTACAATTGGAAACATCCACGTGATGCGTGTGTGTTACTATTTGTCGTTTTCGATCTTTTGGTAAATTCTTTGAAGATAACATTTTAATTTGTTGTTTTTAAAAAGTGAATAAAATTATTAAGAAATATTGTCCAATGCATCATCATCTCTGTTTCTTTACTAATTAAATTTAAAAATGGCAAATGAATATATATTATAGGAGCTGTGTGTGGGCCAGCAAGTCTGGTGAACTCGATGATGGACCTCCATCAAGGGAGCCTTATGCTACTGGGCCCAACCATGAATCCCAAAGTAGCCTTTGAACTGTCTGAGAGAATTCCCCACTTGGCCTTGAGAATGAAGGAGCATTGCCACCGTGCTATGGTTTACGCCACCAGGATGAAGAAACTGGGTCTGAAAGTCATTTATCCGGGGCTGGAAGATCACCCGGATCACGCTGTCTTGAAGTCCATTGCCAACAAAGACTACGGGTATGGTGGAATTCTGTGCCTGGACATGGAAACCGAAGAGAGGGCTAACAAATTGATGAACCAATTGCAAAACCATACCCAATTCGGATTGATGGCTGTTAGCCTGGGGTATTACGAGACGCTCATGTCGTGCTCCGGTAGCAGCACTAGCAGTGAAATGAACGAGGAGGAGAAGGCGTTGGCCGGAATATCACCGGGACTGATTAGGATGTCTGTTGGATATAGTGGGACTCTGGAGCAGAGGTGGAGCCAGTTTGAGAAGGCACTTTCCAGAATGCAGGATTCAACTTTCTTCCAAAAGAATTGAAGCTACCTAGCTAAGCTTAATTGTGTGTCTGTCTGTCTGTCTCATGCGTCCAGTCTCTTTTAATTTCAATTAATGTATGCATAATCCAATAAGTTGCTATATTATTAGCTCTGATGATGGGTTGAGTTTTTATGCATGTAAAAATTTCTACCTTTTTCTTGTTCATTTTGGATCCATCGGTCCCACCTTTGCTTCATGTTAATAATATAATCACCATGTTAATTATATGTGTATCAATTTTTCACCACTTACTTTTATTTGGTTTCTGAAATCTTATCAAGACCATGCCCAATCTCCTTTTCTTATGTTGCATATATAATAGATGTATATATGGGCACAGTTACTACTACTACCAAGACTTGTTTTTTGGGCGAGAGTCATGTGTTGGCTTGGACTAGTAACTCCTATAATAAATTTGAACCCACAATTTGGCTTACACTTGTATCAAAGGTTGAAGTCTTTATAGAGATGGGTTGCTTTGTTTGTCATTTTAGAAATAGTTTTATTTTTTGGAGAATAAAAATAAAAAAATATATAATTTTTTTTTTTGTTTGGTTCTTTTTCTCTTATAATTATTTTTTAAAAGCTCAATTATAATTATTAAAATGTCTATTTACATAAAATTGATACGTATTTTTAGAATTACAAACCAAACATATTTGGGGCTTGCAATTTAGACAGAGACATGGGCTCAGAATGGAAAACAATACTAGTATTAAGTAGTTTCAGCGGAGGCACACCATCTGAACAGGACCTCCCGTGTTGTAGATTGGGCTGAGATTGTTGTTTTTATCTTGGGCTGAGGAGATCCAACTTAAGGCTACAAACATTAAATTAGGCCCAAATAGATCTGCTAAAAGACCAAATTAATGTGAGACTGGGGAAGGCTTTGAAGTTCAGGCTACAAACATTAAATTAGGCCCAAATAGATCTGGTAAAAGACCAAATTAATGTGAGACTTGGGAAGACTTTGAAGTTCAGGGCTACTAACATTAAATTAGGCCCAAATAGTCCTGCTAAAAGACCAAATTAATGTGAGACTTGGGAAGGCTTTTGTTTGTATACTTGGAAGTTTCAAACACTGCAAATTAAATCAATTTTGAACTCCATCTGATCAAATATTAATTATGCGATCCATATATATTATTATGAAATGTTTACCTCGTCTGAATTTTTTTTTTTTGTTTGACCTTTCGCACAATATATATCTTCATTTTTATTTTATTTCATGTTTTTCAACTTAATTAGAGCACTTGAATTTGATGACTAGATGTATGTAGTAATGTATATACTCTTTCTGAAATTAATGTGAAGGAATATATATATACACACACATATATATTCCTTTATGTCACAATTTGATGAGGCAGTAAACGAGAAACGTTGTTCATATCATAAACCTAATAGAGAAGTTGATCAAGCGAGAGAAGTTTTGTTCCCTTTAGTAGAGATGAGGCCCATTACTGGCAAATTAGTTGGGCCCCAAACAAGGCATAAAGCCCATTGGAATTACAACAATGTAATTAGCACCCATCAGCACCAACAATTTATTCTTTCATTTTAATAGAAAACCACTATAACTATTTCTAGTTTCTAAATTTAATATTTACCAAGACCACTAATTACAACAATAAAAGGTAATTACCAAAAAAATAAAATAAAATAAACCTATTCACCTCTAGAAATTATTTCTCTCTTAAACAAAGAACTATTTTTATGTTTGGTGTGTAGGAATGGAATGGAATGCAAGTGAGAATGGAATGAGAATGAGAATGGATCTATTGTTTGATTGTAAATATGAAATGTGTAGGAATAGAATGATAATAATCATTCTAATGTTTTGGTTGAACCAATTTAAAATTTAGAATGGAATAAATTTCAAATTAAGTTCTCCAAAATATACCTCTTAGTAAAAAAATAAATTAAATTAACAAAATGACATTCTTCTATATAGTTTTTTAAAAAATAAATGGTGGCAGTGGTGGTCTAAGTCACATAATGCGGGAGCGGGAGCGGGAGTAAGAGCGCGAAAACGTCAATGTCCAAAATACTTGAGAGCGGGAGCGTCTATATTATTATATATATAAATATATATTCAAGCTCTTTAATTTTAAAACCCATATAAGGAGTATTATTCTACATCTAAAAGTTTAATCCTTATTATTCTAAGTTTGGCCCAATAAGCATTATTTCATTAGTAAGGCCCAATGTATTATAATTGTTGTCACCCCATAATCCAAATAAAACTTTATCCAATATTCCAATGTACTAGTATAATTGGTTTGCTTACCCTAAAACTTGAAACTAAAACCAGCGGCAAAGTCCTCTTCTGCAAATCAACCCCACCGTGACCATCTTATAATCCGCTGATGGCGCCATCCCGCTTCATGCCAGTCACACAACTCACTCTATCTCTTTCATGGATCTGGTCACTTTGTATCTCTCTTAAATCTTAAGGTCAAGAATCGAAATGTTTGATTTCTTCTTAAAAAATTGATTTCTTCTTTCTAATTTCTTGTCAGAGATGGAGGAGCTAGGTCAGATTTCAAGAAAGAGATGGTGATTTTTTGCATCAGTGTTGCTTGGACAGTACATGTTGAATGGGAATGATTGAATCAGCATTCCAAAACATGAGTTTGCGAATTCTTAAAATGAATTCGTGAATTCCCAAAAATGAGTTCGTGAATTCCTGCTGAATCCGAACTCCATTTAGAAATTCTCGCTCGAAACGTAAATCGCCAACCTTCTTTGGCAAATCATGTGACTTAGGTGGCGGTTGTGGATGGTGGTGACAATGGTAGTGGAGATGGAAAGTGGGAGTGGTGGTGTTGGAAGACGACAGTGGTAATGGTGGAAGGTGGTAGTGGTGGTGGAAGGCGGTGGGAGTAGTGTGGTGGAAGGAGATAGTGGTGTTGGAAGGCGACGGCGGTGGCGGTGGTGGTGGTGGAAAGCGGTGGTGGTGGTGGAAGGCGGTAGCTGTTGTAAAAGGTGATGGGGGTGGAGAAAGGCGGTGGTGGAAGGTAGCGCTAGTGAAAGGCGATGGCGGTGATGATGAAGGTAGTGGTTGTGGCAAAGGAAGGCGGTGTCGGTGGTGAAAGGCGGTGACGGTGGTGGTAGTGGTGGAAGGTTCTGGCAGTGGTGAAAGGCGGTCGCAGTGGAGAAAGGCGATGGTGAAAGGCAGTGGCGGTGGAGAAAGGCAGTGGCGGTGGTGGTAGTGTGTGGAAGGAAAATACTTTCCCACCAATAAAAGAATGACACATCATCATGAGAGGGGACCACCATTTATATGAGGACTATTCAACTTCAACTTGGGCTTCAATATGACGAATGGGCAAACATGGGGAGATTGTTGACCCTAAAGGTAATTTTGATGATCATAAACCATTAATGGTGTTTTAAAGACTAATGTTTGCCTTGAGAACATGTAACAGGTATGTCACTAGAAGTCCAAAAATGGAGAAGAAATCAAGTAATGGCAAAGTCAAGCAAGACTCATCTCATGCACTCCAAGGATAAAGGAAGTCAAGTCATTTAATTCCAAAGCCTCAAAGATGAAACACGAAGAAGAAAAATGATCAAAACAGTGATTCAAATAGGGTAGATAGGATTAGTGAGTGCTTTAGATTTCAATGTTAAAGTAATATATGAATTACTTGAAGCTCATGTCTATCTAGGATCATCTATTCACCATTTCATGCTAAATTGAATCAAATAACATCACGCATGATCCAAAAATTAATCTTGAGTATAATGACCCGGTCATTTTCCTTCATTTCCTTTTTCTCAAATTTTAGGGATTTTTTTTTCGTTGATCTTTTCTCTTCTGAGTTCAGTTTCTCGTCACTTAGTGTCGTCTTAAGTGCTTGGGGATAGTTTCTGAGACTCTTTCCTTTGGATTGACAACTTCCTTAAAGGACCGCGTCATTTCCACATTTTCATTTTTTGGACACTATTCACTTTTTGTCTTTTTCCTCTTTTGTCACTTTTTGGCACAACCTCACTTTTTTGTATTCGGAGTTAGTTTTTGACTTCACGTATCTTCATTCTAAGTGGTTTCCACGAAGCACGTATCTTTACTTTTGTAAAAAAGTACTCTGGTTGTTCCCCCGTGTCCATAGGGGTATGGATGTATAGTTTCTTTGGACACATTTTCTTTGTTTAGGGTGTTTTTCATAAATATCTTTCGAAGATATTTTATTTCAGGGGTTTTTAAGAAAATATCTTTTTGAAGATATTTTCATTTTGGGCCAGTTTCGCAGTTATCACTTTTCGTAGGGGCCATTGTGCAATTAATGAAAGTTATTGCAAAATGCCTCATTTTGAGCTTGGATCCTCATACGGGATTCATTTTTACTTTTCGTAGAGTCTTGTACTCTTAGAATTTTCTTCTGGTCGTTTTCCCTAATTTTAGAGTTTTTGACCCTAGTTGCCGTCGAACTTGTTTGGGGCATATCTTTTCGCACGGGACTCAGTTTTTGACGTCGTTTCTTCCGTAAATTCATTTTATCTCATTTAGGTTCTTTTTTACTCACAGTGTTTTACTGTTTGAGTGCGTCTACGCAAATTCCACTTTTCAAGACCCGGCGGGACCCGTTCAGAACACTTTTAGGGGTTTTCTATAAATAGAGGGTTATAAAATGAAAAGTGAACTTTTTCCCTCTCCGGCCATCTGTGGCAGCCTTGGGCTGCCACCCTTCTTCTTCTTTTTTCGGCATCTTCCTTCGTGGTAAATGTCGTAGTACCTTAGTGTTTATTGTAAGCCTTGGTGAGATTTTCCTTTCCCCCTTATTAGAATCCGTTTTTAACCATTTTTGAGTACGAGTTTTGAGTTCTGGTTTGAATTTTCATGGTGCCTCAAAGGTTAAAGTTTTGAGTTCCGGTTAGGAGTATCGTCGAATTCGAAGCACTTTTCTTTCGGTGGGGATTCAAGATTTCATCTTAAATGGAGGTAGGGGATATTATAGGTTTATATTTTTGTTGTCTTGCATGCTATTGATACTTATACAACTTGTATGCATGCTTTTGTTCATAATCTAGAATTTAATTTCATTATTTTCTTTTATGAATGTTTAATTTACATGGTTGTATATGCGATGGAATCAAATTGTGGCATGCTATTAAATTAGACCTTGATATGTTTATTAATATATATTTATTTGACGACATTTGAATAAATATTGAGACTTTTATTTAATTATTTTCTTTTATGAAGATTTAATTTACAT